CTGCAGGCAGGGCTTTGCCTGGTGCTCCCTGCTGCGGTGGTAGTGACTGTCGGTGGTCGCCAGAGCCTGCTGCATGGACAGCTCGTTCAGAGCCATGGATGATCATCTCCACCCAGCGTGGGACCTGCCAGCCAAGGAAGCGCCACAGCATCAAGCCTTGCTGTGGCCAGTCATCTCCAGTTGGCATGGGAACTGCCAGCCTGGGAAGTGCCATGCTGTCAGCCCCTGCCATGACTGATCTCAGCCCAGCGTTGGACCTGCTAGCAGCATAAACCCTTGGCCACAGACTCAACCTTTGACCACGGTGTCACCTTCTGGCCTGGAATGGATATGGCATGGAAAGCTCAGCAGAGCTGCTCTATCCCTGCAACACCCCAGCCAAGGGCAGTGATGCTGCTCCAAAAGAGGGACCCGAGGCAGGAGGACACTGTCGGTGGGCTGGATGGGAGCCTGGACCCTACAGCAGGACAAGCACCATCAGGAGGCTTCGGTTCCCCGTGGATCTTCTCCAAGTTGGGTTACCTCTCCACACCTGAGTAACGGAGAGGCTGCTGTCCCACCAGCAGGTCTCACCACACGGGCAAGTGCCACCTCTTCCCTTTGGTGCCCAGGAGCTGGGCCCTCAGGAAGTGTTAGATAGCTGGTGGATGCGTCACCGCAGCAGCTGATCTGGGGCAGTGAGTCACTGCCAGCGCTCCAGCACGCAGGATGGCGGCACGGGCCACTCCTCCCCTCCCCGCTTGCTGTTTACTCATATGTTGTTGTTTTTTTTTTCCCCTCGTTTGTCTGCACGCAGCTGGGATGAGCATCCCTCCCGGCATCGGGCGGGAGAGGAGTGAGAGTGTCAGATTCAAAGCAGGAATAAAATGACCGAGAGCACCCCAGAATTGCCCGGCACACATCGGCTGGTCCCCGTGGACACCTGAGTCTTCCTTGGGTGGCGGGCTCGTCATAACCCACTCTCAAGTATAAATAAATCTTAGTTAGGAGTCTTTAGAACCCTGGCCCCAGCCCAAACCCTGACCTGAAAGGCTAGTTTTCTGACTTTTTGCAGTTTTAATTAGGCTTGCTGGGAAGCTCTTCCCGTGCTGCTGCTCTCCTGCCTGCCCGGTCCCCTACCCAGCACTCTGCCAGGGGGTGGACATAGCAAGGGGAGTGAGCAAACCCCCCAAAAGTGGGTGAAACCTCAGCGCTGGTGGGCTGCTCAGCTCAAAACCTTCATGCTGGTCCCAGGCGGTGCTTGTTAGGAGCTCTGGTTTTTGGGGTGCAGCTGAGAGACACTTGGGATGCTTTGGGATTTGGGTTGCAGCTGGCCTTGCTGTTGGGTGCAAAATTGATGATTTTTTTCCTAACTGGATTTTTTTTTTTTCTTGTGTGTGCCCGGTGTGGGAGAAAGGCACATGCCAAGTGTTTGCAATCTTTGTCTGCAAGGTGCTGTCTCGGCTTCTGAGGGTCCCTGTGGGGGACACACACAGGGGTGACTCCCTGCCAATCGGTGGTGATCCTCGCTTCTGTGAGGAGGGTGACTGGCCAGTTTTCATGGCTGGCCATGTATTATTTCAGGTACAGGGAGCTCACCGAACCCTTGCGCATCCCAGCAGCCATCGGACTGGCAGTTTGCAGGAGCTGCGCAAAACGTGCATCCTCCCACACGTGCCAAAATGCTCCTCATCTCCTCTGCCTTTAGCCCGACAGCTTTGGGGGGGCTGGGAGGTGGCAGTGCCAAGAGACAAAATAAAGCTGCGAGATCTGAGATTGTTAATTTAAATATATATATATATATTTTTATTTTTTTTTTTTAGTGTCAGCATTTGAAATTCCAGCTCCCAGTTAGGAAAGTTGTTGAAGTGGTGGTCTGAATCATCCCTACCCCCAGTTTCAAGACCCATCGCATGGGGAAAGGGGCAGAAAATTAGTCACTTTGTTAATCTGCTTCCAATAGAAATCACTTAGAAATCCATAGCGGGGGGGGAGGTGGGGATAAGAATAAAATGAGAGCGGCTTTTGGGAGTGGCCGTCACGCGTCCTGGCTCCCACAGACAGCCGCCTGCTCGCTTCCCTGCGCTGTTTTGGGGGCAGCGGGCAGGGCCTGACAGCTGCCTGCACTTCTGGGTCAGGAGCAAAGTGACCTCCTAGGACGAACACAAACAGAGGCAGCTGGAGACCAGCCACCCGCTGAGAAGCGCTTCTTCCTCAAGACAAGTGATTCTCACCCTTAAAAAAGCCTTTTTTGTTATCTGGTGGTGTGACGAAGGCACCTGCTAATTAAAGCAGGGGGTCAGCAGCAAAGCTGGGGGACAGGGGGTTCGTATTTGCAAGTGGAGCCATGAGACCAGCCCCAACTGCTCATTTTTTAGGAGTGATGGTGAAGAGCCGTGGTGGGGGCTATTGCGGAGGTGGTGGAGGGGGCGAGGTGGAGGTTTGGGGGTTTATTGCCCGGTGGGTTTTTTTTGAACCAGGGTGATGCTGGCACGGTGGGACACTGGGGACAAGATGCTGCATGCAGGTTGTGATGCATCCCCCCCCACCCAGGGAGGCATGGCACTGGGGGGTGCGTCACTGGTTTCCCCCCCAGATGAGGATGAGCTGCCTTCATCCCGTCAGCTCCTCCATGAGCCCAGGGTTTGGGGGGGGATGGGGGCAGCTGGGTGGGCTGGGGGAGCTGATCCTGCCCTGGGAAGGGGTGAGGAGGACAGGGAGAGCAGGGAGCAGCCCCCAGCCCTACTTACCACCCACCCCCTTGCAAGGAGGCAGGTAACGTCCCATATCTGGCAGTGAGCTGGGGACAGAGACCCCCCAAAAACCCCAGGGGTTACAGCGAGCTATCGGTTAATGGGGACCCCCTGTGCTTGCAAGGATCTAAGGAAATAATAATAAAAACAATTGGGTTTTGGGGTGCTGGGGGATGCAGCGGGGAGGGATGCACCAGCTGCTTTTTGGGGGGTTCCCCCGCTATTGGGAGAAAAGCTGGCTGCCACTTTTCCAGCTTTTTGGTAGTGGAGTGCCGTGTGCTGGCTGCTGGTAAATGATTGCCAGGGCGGCCGGCCGAGGCGGGGCCGGAGGTTGGTGCCGGGTTTGAACCCAAACAGGTACTTGGGACTGGTGTGCCGGCAGCCATCCCGCTCTCGCACACGGCAGCGTTCAGCAACCACTGGATTTTTGGGGCAAGGTGAGGCTGTGCGACGCGACTTGACTGGCTGGGTTATTTTTTTTCTTATTTATTTTCATTTATTTATTTTATTTTCAAGCCACTGGCCTCCCCGTGTGGTCAGGGCAGGGGACCCCAGGTTCAATGCTAGTCAGGTCCCTAGCCAAGGTGGAGGTGAAGCTTCCTGGGATGTGTTGCCACCCCAAATTCGGCATTAGGGTGCCACGGGGGACACACACACACACGGACGGTGGCTTCGGGGTGAGCTGGGTGGTGCTGTGGCGGTGCCCGGACTTTGCTCCGTGCCAGGGGCCAGTTGCAGCCTTGAGTGCCCAGGGTGTGGGAAGCAGTGCCAAAACCCAGCTTTGAAACAAAATTGGGCTAAACCTTACAAATTAAGTGGGTTTGGGCTCACAGAGAGGTTGGCTGAGCCCGAACTGCCTTTCAACCCCACCGGTTTTCCCCGGCCACCCAGCCAAGGCAAACATGAGCTCAGCGCCAAGGTATTTGCGGTGGCTGCTCCGTGCCCACGTTTCGGAGGTGAGCAGGGGGGTGGCACTGATGGGACCCGGCACCCGTGGGGAACGGCCTCGCCAAGCCACATCTCCCCTGGTTTCTACTTGCCTTTCTTGCACCGTGGCTAAAATCCCTCATCACCAGAGGCAGGACCCTTCGAGCCCTCCCTTTGATTACTCAAGCAGGCCACAAAAAACAAGCCAGAAGTGGTGTTTAACCTGAGGTTGAGCTTTCTCACAGCCCAGCTGCGACCTCGGGAGAGCTGGAGCTGAGGGGTGGAGAGGCTGCAACCAGCTGGGTTAGGTTGGGAAAGTGGTTTGGGACCCTCTGGACTGGAAATTTCCTGTATACCTTCCTCTGTCTGGGGCTTTCAGGCAAGCCTGATGCTAGAAAAAAAGGTGTTATAGGGGAAAAAAAGCTATGTCTTTGTTTGCATGGGGTTTGAAAACACTGTAAGCTCAAATATTTGAGCTCTTTACAGGTTGTACTTAAACTTTTTTTTTTTACTTTTTTTTTTTTTTTTTAAGACTGTCGCAGCTGTTGAGCTGCTGGAAGAGGCAGGAGGCGGGTGCACCTGGGCTAATGGCTGTTATTTTAACGCAGGAGAAGTAACCACCGGGTGGGAGTCGGGCTGGGTCCCGGCGTTGGGCAGAGATCCCCCAGGAGACTGGGATTCACCGCAGGCCTTCATGCCTGGCTCTCCCTCCCAAACCCCACCTTTGGTCATGTTTTTGCGCAGAAAGAGGCTTTATTTTAATTTTGTAATCCCTCTCTGATAAATTGAGATGGAGGTAAATAGATTAAAATGCGCATTATCTGCACCTTCTCTTAATATCCCATTGCAAGGGTGGGCGGCCGTCGGTTTCTCTGCCTTTTCCAATATTGTTTGGAAAATCCCCCGGTGTGGCACTGCCAAATTGTCAGAGAAATTGCAGTGAAAGTCCATCAAACCCATTAAAAGTCTGCACTCGCAGCAGAAATAACCTGGGCATCATCTTCTGGGCACCGTGCAGGCACACAAACCACATCACTTCCCACCACGGGAAGATTTTTGTCCAGACAGCAGAGGGGAAAAAAAAAAAAAAAAAAAGAAAATTTTTTTTTTTGGTTGATGGGTTGGAGTTTTTTTCAGTGTTTTAATAATACCAACAAAAATGCAATCCATGTGCAGGGAGAGCTGCAGAGATGGTTGGAGGGCAGCAGCAAGCAACTGCTTGGTCTAGGATGCACCTTGCGGGATGCTGGCCTTGAGGATGATTTATATGACGCCGCTCTTAGAGCATCTTATATTCCTTGTTAGCGGCTTGGGATGGAAACCTGGATTCTTTTCTCTCTGCAGGCAGCCTGTCCTGCGATGACCCAGCGCACCTGAGGCCCGGCAGCCGTGGGGATGGAGCTGAAAGTCTGGGTGGACGGGATCCAGAGGGTCGTCTGCGGCGTCTCGGAGCAAACCACCTGCCAAGAAGTGGTCATCGCCTTAGCGCGGGCCATCGGTGAGCCATCTCCACCTGCTGGGGGGATCGTGGGTGGGGGCACCTGCCGAGGGGATGCCTCATCTGCAGGTCCTGCCTGGAAAAGGAGACCTTGGGTGGGTGGTGGTCCTGCTTCAGGGTGGTGGCGCTACCCGTGGAGCAGCAGCCTCGGCACGCCACTGCTGGCCACGGCTTTCCCCATCTGACGTGCTCGCTTCCTCCCGGCAGGTCAGACGGGCCGCTACGTGCTGGTGCAGAAGCTGCGGGAGAAGGAGCGACAGCTGCTGCCGCTGGAGTGCCCCTTGGAGTCGCTGGCCAAGTGCGGGCAGTATGCCAACGACGTGCAGTTCGTCCTGCGGCGGACGGGCCCCAGCATGGCCGAGCGGCCCTCCTCAGAGGGCGCTCCCCAAGCTCCTGAGAGGACGTTCATCCGGGCCAGCTTGCCCATCAAGCCCAGGCCCGCCGGCACAGATGTGCCCCGTTCCTGGGAGCCGAAAAAATCCATGACCTTCAACTTGGGTCCCACAGGCTCCAGCGACCAGTTTGCCATGAGCCGCTGGAGGCACCAAGCGCAGGAAGGGATGGACTTGGAGGGCGGTGGAGTTGTCCAGCCCTCCAAGGAGGAGCTGTTTAGGAGGGTGCTGCGGCAACAGGAACAGCTACATTCCTTGGAGGCCCACGGGGACACCCTGGAGACGGACCTACGGCTCTGGGAGCGGGGCCGGGTTGCTGGCCAGGAGGATGAGATCCTCTACCTGGAGCACCTGGTGCGGAGGAACGAGACGGAGCTGGGAGAGGAGGAGTTTTGGCAGAGTGAGCTCCGGCTGGAGAAGGAGTGTGAACGGGAGCGGCAGGAGCGGGTTAGGAGCCTGCGGGCCAGCCTGGAGGAGTACACCCAGAGGATCTACGAGCTGAGTGCCCGGACTGAAGCCCTGAAGGAGGAGATCCAGTGGGAGATGGCCGAGAGGGCCAAGAGAGGAAAGGAGACCCCTGTGCCCAACCCCACAGAGCTGGAGGACATGGCCACCAAGATGAAAAGGGACCTGGAGGTCAAGGTCAAGCAAAGCACGCAGCTGGAGAGCAACCTGGCCAGCGTGGAGAAGGCCCTGGAGGAAGCTGAAAGAAACCTGCAGGTAGGGAGGACCAGGTTGAGCAGCCCCATGGTGTGGTGGGACCAGCTTTCCAGCGACACTGGGCTGATGGGTTGAGTGAGGTTGGTCCTAGCCTATGTGGCCGATGAGCGTGGGGCTGGGTGTGGCAGGGACCGCTGTTGGGCGGACACCACCACTCTTACCCGGCCAGCGCGATGTCCTGCACCCATCGCTCGCCGTGCAAGCTGCGACTGGGCTGGGGCTCCTGCTGGCTGGTGCGTGGGGAGCACAGCGTCACCCCGCTCTGGCACAGACAATGGTGCTGGAGCAAGCGGTCCATGTGCGGGGTCGGTGGCGTTGGTGCAAGGGTCGATGCCATCTCGGAAAAAGGGAGTCGCAGCAGGGGGTAGCGTAGGTCCCCATGGTGCCTGTGCACAAAGCCTTTTGACCAC